TATCACATTGATGCTTCTCTCTATCTCCCTCTCTCCCTCCTTCCCTCCCTCTCTATCTGATAATAAGTAGAAAAATATCCTCAGGTGAGGAATTAAAAAGAAAAAATATTGAAAGCAGTCAGAGGAAAAGAACATGTTACATATTTGCAAGACCAGTGATTACTCATCAAAAACCATAGCAGTCAGAAGCCACTGAAATAGCATCGTTAAAGCATTGAAGGAAAACACTCTTGGACTTCCAGTCAAGATGGCAGCTCAGGTAAACTCGGTACTCACCTCCTCCTACAACCACATCAAAAATACAACTGAACTACAGAAAAACCATCATTCAGAACCGCCTGATATCGAGCGGAATGGAAGTCCTACAACTACGAAATTAAAGAAGCCACATTGAGACTGGTAAGAAGGGTGGAGGTGTGGATGGGCTGGTGCCACACCGTGTGGAAGATAAAAATCAGGAGGGCTACCTGGGCTGGGAAGGTCCTCCTAGAGGAGCAAGGGGTCCCCATACCACACCAGCCGCCCCACCTCAGGGTTCCAGTACCAAGAAGAAAAGTCCCCATAACTCTGGCTGTAAAAACCAATGGGAATTGAGGCTGAGGGAGGATGAGGCTTCTGGAGTCCCAGGCAGTTCCTCTTAAAGGGCCCACTCCCTCCAGGCTCCAGCATGGGGAAGGCAGCTTGAAAGGCACCAGAGACATATGGGGCAGAACAGAGCTGTTTGGCATTGGGGCAAGAGCTGGAGAGGCAGCATTCTCCCAGACGGATGTGCTAGTGGAGGCCAGTGTGTTGGCAAACAGGCACCAGATCTGGGACTCCAGCAACCTGGTTCACACTGTTTGCCCCACCTTGGTGATTCCCTGAGGCCCCGCCCCACGCAACTTTCAGGTCCACCCAAGCTGTTTCCAGTGTCTTTAACACAGGGTTGGCCTATCTTAGATCCTGCTTCAGATTTTCCTAAATTCTCTCAAACAGCATCTGGTCACAGCAAGCCCCATACTTCTCCCTAAGTGGCCCCAGGCCTGGCACTAGAAGCAGCCAGCCTTGGTTCACAACTTGACTTTTCCTGGACACCTCCAAGCCCAGCACAAGAAGCAGCCATCAGCAGATTACTTTGTAGCTTATGCCAGATGGCCCTGGATAGAGCACAGGCAGTAGCTGACCTTGCCCCAGAACCAACACACCCAGTGGATAGCTTCAGACCATGTCGAAGCACCACCACCCAACCACCTCCACAAGTGACACACTCAAGGAATGGACTCAGTGGATACCAGAGCCCTGCTGAAATAAGTCTTGTTCTACGTGGTGGGCCCCTGCACAGTTGATCATCCAAGGTAGTCAGAGGTTGGTGGTTAGCAGACACAGCCAGTCCTTGCAGCTGATCAACCTGAGTAAAACCCTCCCATTGCTTTGCCAATAGCAGTCAAGACTCAATTACAACAGAAGGGTAGAAAGTCTACACAAAGGGTGCACCTCAAGGGCCCAGCTGGGTAACTAGGGAGGCTGTGCCACTGGACACTACAGGACACCTACTACAACAGGACACCATAGGAAGCCTAGGAGACATAGCAACTCTACCTAATACATAGAAACAAACACAGGGAGGCAGCCAAAATGAGGAGACAAAGAAATGACCTAAATGAAAGAACAGAACAAAACTCCAGGAAAAGAACTAAACGAAATGGAGATAAGCAATCTAACAGATATAGAGTTCGAAACAGTGCATATAAGGATGCTCAATGAACTTAGTAAGAATTTCAAGGAACTTAGTGAGAACCTCAAGAGCATAATAAAGAACCAGTCAGAAATGAAGGATACACTAACTGAAATAAATAATAATTTACACAGATTCAATAGTAGAGTAGGTAAAGCCAAGAAGCAAACCACTGACTTGGAATATAAGGAAGCAAAAACCACCCAATCAGAACTGCAAAAAAAAAAAAAAGAATCCAAAAAAAAAAATGAGGAGCCTCTGGGACAACTTCAAGCATACCAACATTCGCATCATGGGGGTGCCAGAAGGAGAAGAGAGAGGGCAAGAAATTGAAAACCTATTTGAAAAAAATAATGATAGAAAACTTCCCTAACTTGGTGAAGGAAACAGACATGCAAGTCCAAGAAGCACAGAGAGTCCCAAACAAGATGAAACCAAAGAGGTCCACACCAAGACACATCATCATCAAAATGCAAAAGGTTCAAGACAAAGAAAGAATCTTAAAAGCAGCAAGAGAAAAGCAGTTAGTTACCTACAAGGGAGCTCCCATAAGGCTGTCAGCTGATTTCTCAAAAGAAACTTTGCAGGCCAGAAAGGAGTGGCAAGAAATATTTAGAGTGATGAAAAGCAAGGACCTACAACCAAGATTACTCTAACCTGCAAAGCTATCATTTAGAATTGAAGGCCATAAAAAGAGTGTCCCAGAGAAGAAAAAGCTAAAGGAATTCATCACTACCAAACCAGTATTATAAGAAATGTTGACAGGTCTTCTTGAAGAACAATAATATGAACAACAACATGGCAATAAATACATATCTATCAACAACTGAATCTACAAACAAAATGAGCAAGCAGAACAGAAACAGACTCTTACAGAGAACTTTTTGTTGGTTGCCAGATGGGAGGGGGTTGTGGGGATGAGTGAAAAAGGTGAAGGAATTAAGAAGTACAAATTGGTTGTTAGACTGACGAACCTCAAAGGGAAGGGGGGAGGGGGAAAAGATAAACCAAAGAACTTATATGCATAACCAATGGACACAGACAACAGTGTGGGTAAGGTAGGAGTGGGGTGGGAGCAGGGAGGAGGGGATCAATGGAAGGAAAAAGAGGGACATCTGTAATATATTCAACAATAAAGATAAGTTTAACAACAAAAAAAGACTCTCAATGCACTGAAACTATCCTTCAGTAATTAAAGAAAATAACATTCTAGCCCTGGCCAATTTTGCTCCATGGTTAGAGAGTTAGCCTGCGGACCAATGAGTCCCAGGTTTGATTCCAGTCAAGGTCACATACCTTAGTTGCAGTTCATGCCTGGCCCTGGTCAGGTTAGTGCAGAAGGCAGCCAGTCGATGTGTCCCTCTCACTTTGATGTTTCTTTCTCTCTCCCTCCCTCCCTCCCATTCTGTCTGATGATAAACAGAAAAATATCCTCAGGTGAGGAATAAAAACATAAATAAATAAATAATAAAAATAAATGCATTTAGAACCAATAAAATGAGTTTTAAAAAAAATAACAACATTCTCTGTTGAAAAGAAAATTTACAGCCAGCTGGACCTGTTCTAAAAGAAATACTAAAGGAAGTTCTTCAGGCTGAAGTAAATAGTAAAAAGTTTACATGAAACTTCAGGAATAAATGAAGAGCAAAAGAAATAGTAAAATTCTGGGGAAACATATAGGACTACTTTTGTACTCTTAAGTTCTTTAAAATATATAAAATAATAGAACATAAATGCTAAAACGCTTCTAAATACTATTTCAATGTATGACCTACCCAGCCAGGGCTAAGATGATAAATTTAATATTCTGTATATTTTACAATTAAAACAAGACAAACTATACACATTTCAAACTCACACACACACACACATATGTATACACATTTGAAAGTTATTTGTCTTCAGAATTCATTTGGAGAAAAGAGGCAAGGGGAGAAGGGCACTTAGTTTACTGACAGTGTATCAACTGTGTACCTGAAAAACAAATGGTTCTTCCAAAAGAAAATTATTGATTATCCTAAATGAAATAACAAACACTTTGGAATTTATCAGCTCTGGTATTAGTTCTAAAAGCATAGGGGTAGTTTTCTTTTCATGTAAAATCTTGATTTAATTCTTCATGATTCTTCATGTTTTTATTTCCTACAAGCTTACCCTTTTTTTTTTTAATCCTCACCCAAGGATATTTTTCTATTTATCTTCAGACAGAGTGGGAGGGAGAAAGAGAGAAACATCAACATGAGAAGGACACATCAACTAGTTGCCTCCCACACGACGCTGACCAGGGCTGGGGACGAACCAACCAAGATATGTGCCGTTGGCCGAAATCATTGGTCTGAGGGCCAATGCTCTACCGCTGAGCCAAACCGTGCAGGGCAAGCTTACCTTATTCAAGAAAGCTACCAAGAAAAACAACTGTACAACTAGAAGAGCATATTAAAATATTATCAAGCCATTTTTTCCCCAAACACAAATGTCAAATGACTTAACCGATCAACTTTATAAAAAGCAGTTTAATTTGTGAGCCCCATTTTTCAACCAATTTGGTCTGAATGCTAAGAGGGGTGATGGGACAGGTCACAGAACTGGGACTCCAAAAAACTTTTCAGATTAAAAAACCCCACTATGTTCTGTTGCTGGCTCTATAAAGATCCCTATATTGAAGTCTCATGTGTCTCATCTACAATACCATAATACTACTTTATTTATTTAATTATTTTTTTATCCTCACTCGAGGACATTTTTCCATTTTTTATTCAGATAGAGCGGGAGGGAGAGAGAGGAAGAGAGAGAAAGAGAGAAACATCAACGTGAAAGGGACACATTGAGTGGTTGCCACCCACACGACCCAACCAGGGCCAGGGACAAACTGCAACTGAGGTATATGCCCTTAGTGGGAACCAAACCATGGCCTCTCCGGACCACAGGTCGATGCTCTAACCGCTGAGCCAAACCAGCCAGGGCCCATAATACTACTTTAAAAGAGTACACTGAGGCCCTAGCCACGCAATTCAGTTGGTTAGAGCATTGTCCCAATACACCAAGGTTGTGGATTTGATCTCTGGTCAAGGCATATACAAGATCAATCAATAAATGCATAAATAAATGGAACAACAAATCAATGTTTCTCTCTCTCTCAAATCAATTTTTAAATAAAAGGACACATTTTAAGTGTTGATTAGAATTCAAAACCCAACTAAATATAAATACACAGTTGCTGAGGGTGGCTTTTGTAAGTTATTTTCATTGTGTGTCATTCTTCCTATTTAAGATAATTTTTACTTACTTGGTCAACTTGTGGGTCTTCATTGCTGTGAGAAATTCCCTGACAATCTCAGGACTCTGGTGACTGCATGGTGTTTTTGATATGTATTTTAACGTCTACCAAAAAGAAAAAGAAAAAGCAAACATGAATGAGAAAAAGGGAAGGCAATGGGTATAATGTAGTATTCTATAATTTTGTTTCAAAAATCTTCTATAAAACAAATGCCTTCAGGAGAGTCAATCTTCATATAGTAGGAATTCCTCAAAAAGAAAACCAGTAGAGCCCTGGCCAGTTTGGCTCAGCGGTTAGAGCGTCGGCCTGCGGTCCGGAGAGACCCGGGTTCGGTTCCCGCTAAGGGCACGTACTTCGGTTGCAGTTTGTCCCCGGCCCTGGTTGGTCGTGCGGGTGGCAGCCACTCGATGTGTCCCTTCACGTCGATGTTTCTCACTCTCTCTCCCTTCCTCTCTCTCCCTCCCACTCTACCTGTATAAAAAAAAGAAAAAATGAAAAAATATCCTCGGGTGAGGATAAAAAAAAAAAAAAAGAAAACCAGTAGAGCCCTGGCCAGTTTGGCTCAGCAGTTAGAGCGTCGGCCTGCGGTCTGGAGAGACCCGGGTTCGGTTCCCACTAAGGGCATGTACTTCGGTTGCAGTTTGTCCCCGGTCCTGGTTGGGGTTGTGCGGGTGGCAGCCACTCGATGTGTTCCTTTCACATCGATGTTTCTCTCTCTCTCTGTTCCTCTCTCCCCCCCCTACTCTACCTGAACAAAAAATGGAAAAATGTCCTCGGGTGAGGATAAAAAAAAAGAAAACCAGTAGATAAAACAGGAAGATTAATGAAATGTTTAGAAGAAAACTTTTATCTTAAAAAGAAAGAAAAAATTTCATGTGATAACTGCATTATCATAATTCAGATAACTTTCTTAAATATAGGAAACCCAAAGAGCCCTGGCCGGTTTGGCTCAGCGGTTAGAGCGTCCGCCTGCGGTCCAGAGACCCGGGTTCGGTTCCCGCTAAGGGCACGTACCTCGGTTGCAGTTTGTCCCCGGCCCTGGTTGGTCGTGCGGGTGGCAGCCACTCGATGTGTCCCTTTCACATCGATGTTTCCCTCTCTCTCTCTCTTCCTCTCTCTCTCTCCCACTCTATCTGTACAAAAAATGGAAAAATGTCCTCAGGTGAGGATTAAAAAAAAAAGGAAACCCAAAGAATAAAGAGCCATGAATCCATATGGATATAAATGACTAAATATTTTAGATGAGAAGTAACGACAATTTCTTACAGAAGAATTCTAACTATTAAACAAAAAAGAAATGAGGAAAATAAATCACCATTAGGCAGTTCCACCACAGTAATATAATTAATGCAGGAAAGACCCACCAATGAATGCTAAAATTAATGGGCAAAAGATTAAGGAGAAATGGGATATTTGCATAGCCTCACAGCATCTTCCCCAAAATATTAAATAATTACTGTGATGGTTTTAACATATATCCTCAAATTCTTTGATATCCCTCCTTCAAGAGGTGAAGCCTAATCCTTTTCCCCTTGAATAGGAGATGGATTTGATGACTCCTTTTAATAGAAAATGGAAAAGGAAAAACAGCAACTTTCCAATGGAGAAATCGGACAGAAAACATCTTAACCAAGTGATCAAAGTTAACAGAATCAATAATAAGACACTGATATCATCATGTTCCCTATACTGTCTATATGGTATTCTTCCCCCAATGCCATAAACTTCAGTCTAGTCATGAGCAAATATCAGACATATCAAAATCTAGGGACATTCTACACAATACCTGACCAATACTCTTCAGAAGTGTCAAGGTCATGGAAAACAAGGAAGGACTAAGGGCCTGTTACAGATCAGAAGATACTGAGGAAACATGTTAACTAAATACAAAATGACGTCCTGGCCCTAGCCAGTTTGGCTCAGCGGTTAGAGCGTTGGCCTGCGGTCCAGAGAGAACCGGGTTCAGTTTCCGCTAGGGGCACCTACATTGGTTGCAGTGTGTCCCCGACCCTGGTTGGGGTTGTGTGGGTGGCAACCAGTCAATGTGCCTCTCTCACATTGATGTTTCTTTCTCTCTCTTCCTCCCTCTCTCCCTCCTGCTCTATCTGAAGATAAATGCAAAAATGTTCTCAGATAAGGATTAAAAAAAAAAAAAAAAAACCAAAATGATGTCCTGGACTAGATCCTCAAACAGCAAGGGGGGATTAGTGGTTAAATTGAGAGATTTCAAATAAAATCTTTAGTTTAGCTTAATAAGATGTAGTAAGATTTACATACAGAAAACTAAAGGAAGGGCACATGGGAACTGACACTATCTTTATAACTCTTTAGTAAGAGTAAAATTATTTCAAAATAAAAGGGGTTTATTTGTTTTCTAAAGGGAACTCCACCAGACATTAATTTGAAAAGAATTTCAAACCTGAAAAAAAAAACACCAGTAACATCAGCATCTGAGTAAAGAGTTTCTCAAAAGTGAAAACAATCAGGTTGGTCTCACACTCCTCCACAACAACAAATATTAACAGATCAACTAATATGTCTAGTGCCCTGCACAATAAAAGATGAATCCAAGAATTCCATATTCAGATGAGTTGTCATTCACATTAAGAACTCTCTCCCAAGCCCTGGCTGGTTTTGCTCTGTGGTTAGAGCAACAGCCTGCGGATCAATGAGTCTCACGTTCGATTCCAGTCAAGGGCATGTACTTCGGTTGCAGTTCATCCCTGGCCCTGCTCAGGTCATGTGGGAGGCAACCAGTCAATGTGTCTCTCTCACATGATGTTTCTTTCTTTCTCTCCCCGCCCCCCGCCACTCTATCTGATGATAAATGGAAAAATATCTTCAGGTGAGGATTAAAAAGAAAAAGAAATCCCTCCCTGGAGCACCCATGCCTTTCTTCCCTCTCAGGTATGCATCTCCTAAACTCTAAGAGTCCCCGTAAGATTTGCAACCAGGGGAGCAATGGGCAGTGGCAACTGTCCTTGGCTAACTCCCTGAACCTATCTCCAAGGCCCCCTTTCCTATGACTTTTCAGTGAACCAAAGCAGTTCCACCTAGTCCCTCTCCTGTTGCTTCTTCTATCCTAAGCCCTTATTTGTTTCACGTCAATGTTTCTCTCTCCCTCTGCCTCCCACTCTATCTAAACAAAAAATAGAAAAATGTCCTTGAGTGAGGATAAAAAAAAAAGAGAGAGAGAGAGACAGACAGAAACATAGATATGAGAGAGAGAGACACTGACTGGCTGCCACCCACATGACCCCAACCGGGGCTGGGAACAAACTGCAACCGAGGTACATGCCCTTAGCGGGAACTGAACCCGGGTCTCTGGTCTGTGGGCCTATGCTCTAACCGCTGAGCCAAACCTGCTAGGGCAGCAGTATATTTGTCTTAGGCCATAGATAATACTAGATAGCCTCAACAATGAGACTTAGGATAGGGGCTTTGGGTCATACAGTATTACTCAGCCTGGAAGCTGAGATGAACTACATGGGCAATTAATCATTTAATCATGCCTGTGTAATAGAGCCCCCATAAAATCTTCAGACACTGAAGCTCAACTGAGTTTCCCTGGTTGGCAATATTCTGTGCATATTGACACACACAGCCATATTAAGAGGACAGTGGAAGTTCTGTATTTGATATTTCTCCTGGAATATGTCCTATTTGCTTCTTCCCTTGGCCAATTTTACTCTGTACCATTTCCCTATAATAAATAGTAACTGTGAATATGACAGCTTTCAGAGAGTTATTTGAGTACTTCCAGAAAATCACTGACTGTGGGAATGGTCTTGGGATCCCTGACTTGAAATTGGTGTTAGAAATGAGGGCAGTCTTATAGACTATTTCCTTTAATTTTGTAGTTGGCTAACCCTTGCAACTGGCCAAACTCTTTCCACTTTCACAAACAGAATAAAAACGGAGTTATAGTACAACTATTCAAACCAGAAAGTAGGCAATCTTGATTTGGTCGCTAGTCATCAGAAGAATAAACAACGCCCCCTCAATGGTAGTTCAGGTAGACCTCCAGAAGCCTAAACTTACTTCATAGGTGATAGTATTCAAATTCTGTTGCCCAGAACTGTGTTTATTCTTTCCACTCTCTTTACGCTGCTCTTTCAGATCAGTCAGTAACTGGAACACCTAGGAAGAGATATATAAAAGATTTTTATAGAAAAATTTGAGAAACATATCTATTCCAAGGTCAATGATTTGGAAGATAAATAAAATAGTACCCCCAACTCTTGCATTAAAGTAAACACAAATCAAGAAGTAGGTGACATTTAAAAAATGCTCTTTTGCCCTGGCCAATTTGGCTCAGCGGTTAGAGCACTGTCCTGCAGACCAATGAGTCAAAGGTTTGATTCCGATTAAGGGCACGTACCTCAGCTGCTGTTTGTCCTCGGCCCTGGTCCGAGTCATGTGGGAGGCAGCCAGTCAATGTGTCTCTCTCACATCGATGCCTCCCCCCCAACTCTATCTGACGATAAATAGAGAAAATATCCTCAGGTGAGGATTTGAAAAAAAAAAAGAAGCCCTGGCCGGTTTGGCTCAGCAGTTAGAGCGTCAGCCTGCGGTCCCGAGGGACACGGGTTTGGTTCCCGCTAAGGGCACATACCTCGGTTGCAGTTTGTCCCCAGCCCTGGTTGGGTCATGTGGGAGGCAGCCACTCGATGTGTCCCTTTCACATCGATGTTTCTCTCTCTCTCTCTCTCTCTCCCTCTCTCTCCTCCACTCTATCTGAACAAAAAAATGGGAAAATGTCCTCGGGTGAGGGTAAAAAAAAAAAAAAGAAATTTTTCCTACCAATATACCATATCTCTGATCTCCTCTGGTCTCAAAAATATTTTGAGTATTTTTTTTTTTTATTAGTATTATTTTTTATCCTCACCCGAGGACATTTTTCCATTTTTTGTTCAGATAGAGTGGGAGGGAGAGAGAAGAAGACACAGAGAGAGAGAGAAACATCGACGTGAAAGGGACACATCAAGTGGTTGCCTCCCACACGACCCAGGGTCGGGGACAAACTGCAACCGAGGCACATGCCCTTAGCGGGAACCAAACCCGGGTCTCTCTGGACCGCAGGCCACCACTCTAACCAATGAGCAAAACTGGCCAGGGCTATTTTGAGTATTTAAAAGTAAAATTTTCTGAAATAAAAAAAAATTTTTTTTAAGGATTCTACTTCTCTAATATGCAAATCTAGTATAATTTATTTGGGGAAAGAGAAATTATGAGGCAAGTACTAAAATACAGTTAACCCCCCCCAAAAAAGGAAGGAAAAAATGCTCTAGAACTTCATAAGTAAACTTTCCCCACAAGGGAGAAACATGTGTATTAGTGTTAAGGAGGTTGTGGGGAGTATATCTCTTTCCTGTTTTAGTGATTATACCAGAAAATTGAGGGAAGTGTAGATTCACGAATTCATAGATCATTACTAGATACAATGCAATTATTTGCCTGTCTGTCATTTTCACAAATAGTGGCATGAGACCCAATTAATGTGATCAATGTTTCTCCAATGGATATAACACCCACACACACGTAGCAGAGTTCAAACTGGACAAGAAGTTCCTAAAAGCCAATGGCTTAACCAACAACCATTTCTTCCTGTTATGAGCAGCAACCATTTAAGATGAATCTTTAGGAAGAGAGGGATATGGCCAATGGTGTTAATTCTACTATCTTCTATGTATACCACACAGTGGAGACCCAAATCTCCTACAAGTCTATATAACTTTAGACTCTGGCATATGAAAAACTGACAATGAATGAATGTATGAATGGTTCCTTCTACACCTGGAATTAACCTATCAGATGGTTTTGCTAGTACCAAACAAGATCCAGGCAAAATGGAAGGTAGGCAAAAATAATGTTATATCTCCCCTCTCACCAACCTCTTTCCTTCTTTCCCCCCTTGTCCCAAGAACCCAACTCTCAAGCCCAAAAATCCTCAATCTGTTAGTTCTCACTAAATTATTCATAATGATAAGTCAAGTAAGCTCTCACTTTCAAAATGAAGATTTAAATACTTATGCGACTATTAGGATCAAAATAATAACATAAAAGTATTTTATAGGCAATGAGTGATAATTAAGAAAAGTCATACATATCTTAATAGAAACTTTTACTGATAGAAACAGTCCCAAAATAGATGCTTAGGCATCCCAAATGAAAATCCAATATTTTCAAATTTGGGGAAGGTTGCCTATGGTACACTAAAGTCCTCCCAGCTTTCCTAAATTACTATAATTTACCAAGCTTAGAATATTCCAAGGTTCACCAGATGGTGCCATCTGTCCTATTTTAAAGTGGAAAATTCAAATTAATTTAGTCATTTCTAACCACAACTAATTTAATAATCTTCAAAAGCAATGAACAAACTACCAGAGAAGAAAATACTTCAAAGCTATTTACCTCGTAGTTACTGAGCAGAGCAGAATTGGCATCCTTCCTGCAAAAGAAAAGTAAATTATCATAATCTGGGCTCATATCCTTTTGTTGAATTCAGTATCTGTGAAATAATTCCTCTGTCAAAAGTCAGTAGACCAGTTCAGGAATTTAGGGACAACAACCTTTAGGAGAAATGACCTAATTCCTACTGGTTTAGCTGGTAATAGACAATTTCAGAACATGCCCTCCTTTTTACAGCCATAGTATATCACACATCCATTACCAGGTAGGTGACTAAAATACTCTACTTATCCCTAGTCTACGTAGGCAGAAGTTAAGAGAAGTCAGACATCGAGGAAGTTAGTTACAGGAAGAACACTGGGGGTGGGGGATCCATAAACAGTGTGAGGGTGCTAGAATTATCTAGAGAAACAGTGTTGTCTCATCCCACAGTCATGACCTCTTCCCAGTACCATCTGCCTTCTACCAGCTGTTGACATATTGGGCAGCCAAGTCCTCCTGCTGAATCACCAAAAATGAGATTCTTAACACTAACACCACCACTGGGAATTCCAGCAATGTCAGAAATCCTGCCAGATATTCCACAAAACCACAACAAAGATGTTCATTTTCTATATTATTTATTTTTTAAATATGTTTTTATTAATTTTTTTTTTTAGAGAGAAAAGAAGGGAGAGAGAGATAGAAAAGTTGATGGGAGAAAGATACAGTGATCAGCTAGCTGCCTCCTGCGTGCCTCCTACTAGGGATGAAGTCTGCAACCCGGATATGTGCCCTGACTGGGAATCAAAACAGGACCTCTCAGTCCATGGGTTGACACTCAGTCCACTAAGCCAAACCAGCAGGGTCTTCTGTATAATTTCAACAGGTTCAGTTCATATGTCAAACAGTGATCAAAAGCATAGCACTCATGTGTATCAATCAAGGCAAAATGTCATCTTTCATTTATGAATGAGCACAGCAATGTGACTTGCATTAAACTATAATTGAGCCATTCTACAATATCATGTCAGAAAGTATTCATTGTTTTTAATAGTCTGAAGGAAGTCTAGTAGAATAATTAAAGTCTACTATAATAATCTGGGTTCAAATTTTACCCCAGCTACCTGTAAGGTATGGGTTTTTTGGGTTTTTTAGTTTTTTAACCTCGCCCAAGGACATTTTTGCATTCATCTTCAGATAGAGCAGGAGAAAGAGAAGGAGGAAGAGAGAAAGAGAAACATCAATGTGAGAGAGACACATCGACTGGCTGCCACCCACACGACCCTAACCGGGACTCGGGACAAACTGCAACCGAGGTATGTGCCCTTAGCAGAAACCGAACCTGGGTCTCTCTGGACTGCGGGCCGATGCTCTAACTGCTGAGCCAAACCGACCAGGGCATAAGGTATGAGTTTTAGTGACTTAGTTAACCCCTCTAAGCTTCTTCATCTAGAACAAATAAACAAACAAACAAAAAATGGGGATAAACTGGTACCTAGAAGTGTACCCTGGATTCTAAATCCAGCTCCACCATACATTAGTTATGTAAATTTAGGCAAGTTATTGAACCTCTCTGAGCCTAAATCTCCTCATTTATAAAACAGCAATTACAGCCCTGGCCGGTTTGGTTCAGCGGTTAGAGCATCAGCCCGTGGTCCAGGGAGACCCGGGTTCGGTTCCCGCTAAGGGCACGTGCCTCGGTTGCAGTTTGTCCCCACCCCAGTTGGGGTTGTGCAGGGGGCAGCCACTCGAGGTGTCCCTTTCACGTCGATGTTTCTCTCCCTCTCTTCCTTTCTCTCCCTCCCATTCTATAGGAACAAAAATGAAAAAATGTCCTCGGGTGAGGATAAAAAAATAATAATAAATAAAACAGCGATTACAGTACCAATATTATAAGGTTGTTTACAGGATTAAATTGAAATATGTAATCAAACTGGTTGGTGACCTCTTCGCGCATGGGCAACATAACCAACTGAGACACACTGACAAGACTGGAAGCTATTATTTTTAAAAGATATCATCTCTCACCCTGGCCAGTTTCGCTCAGTGGTTAGAGCGTATACCCTTTGACCAATGAGCTACTGGTTCAATTCCAGTCAAGGGCACGTACCTCAGTTGCAGTTCGTCCCCAGCCCTGGTCAGGGTCGTGCAGGAGGCAACTAGTCAATGTGTCCCTCTCACATCAATGTTTCTTTCTCTCTCTCTCCCTCCCTCCCACCCTATCTGAAGATAAATAGAAAAAATATCCTCAGGTGAGGATTAAAAAAAAAAAAAGGTATCATCTCACTTGATTCCCATTAAAAACCCTGTGATAGTCCTGGCCAGTATGGCTCAGCGGTCAGAGCGTTGGCCTGCAGTCCAGAGAAAAACCCTGTGATGTAGGAGCTATTATTTCTTCTTTATAAACTGAGGCCCAAAGATTTAAAAACTTGTTTAAAGTCATACAGTAATAAGCCTAACTGAAATGGACAATAACTATGGAATTGTGAAAAGTAAGATTGGATTGGATAAATGGAAACCAGTAATGCAGAATTCTAAATTCAGGAAGGAGTTTGGACTTGACATAATGTGCAACAAAGACTACTGTAAGTTCTCAAACCAGGAGTGAGGCTATATGATAAAAATGATGACATAAATGTCAAAAGCATGAGTCAAACAGATGGACGATTTCCCCAGTCAATAAATAAAGCAAAACTAGTAGATGGTTAACTCAAGGATACAACCTAGGACTTGGTTATCAGTGATGTCAGCACTGTAATCAAATGAGCATGTGAAGCTTACCAAATGCTACTAGTCACTCAACAAATAGCTAGGATTTCACAAAAGTGCTGTTTTGCCCAAATGACCACAACTGCACTCAGGTCACAAAGAATATCTTATTTAAAAGGAACTACCAGCCCGGCCGGTGTGGCTCAGTGGTTGAGCACTGACCCATGCACCAAGAGGTCGCTGGTTTGATTCCCAGTCAGGGCACATGCCCAGGTAGTGGGTCCAATCCCCAGTGGGGGACATGCAAGATCTCTCTCACCCTCTTCCTTCCTTTCTCTCTAAAATCAGTAAAGGAAAAAATAATTAAAAATAAATAATGAAAGGAACTGACCACAGGAAAGCCAATGCATAATTAGTGTATGTGATATGGTTCATTTAAAATGGAAAATGACAAATCAAATCATATGTCATCTTTGCCTACTTAATCAGGAAGGCAGCCCACAAAGCTTCCTCATATCTTTGCTTTAAATTGAGTTACTACTCCCTGTGTGCCTTAAAATACACAGCAATTAAGACATCCTTGCTTGGCTCTGGCCAGTTTGGCTCAGCGGTTGGAGCGTCAGCCTGCAGACCAAAGAGTCCCAGATTCGGTTCCCACTAGGGGCACGAACCAGAAAAAAAAAAAGACATCCTTGCTGGGAACAAACTGGGCTGGGGAAAAATATAAATGTTACTTTTCCTCAAAGCTAATGGATCCATTCCAGGTGCCACTGTTACAATTTCATTTCCAAATCATGGCCCCTCCTTTATACAGAATAGTCCATGCCCTGGGAAATCTGTCCCTGGCTCTTCCAAGTTATTGCTTCATTGCTTAAGTCAATATTGTTAATGCAATATTGTTAATCCAAAAAAACATCATCAGCCTTTTCTAGAACCAATATCCAAAGGAGGGAAACTCTCTCTCATGTTAATTTTAATGAACCTCTAGTTTTGGTACCAATGGATATTTAAACAGGTAATGTATCCTGCAGACTGGCTGGAAGAAGCTGATTTACTCATTGATTCTTTTATTAGTAAGATAATTTTTTAAAACTCAGCTAATAGAATAAATGCCAATATATGTTAGGCCCTCTTTTATTCAATAAATTGTCGATAAGTATATAATACCTTCCTTTTATGAAGTCCTAAATAAATTTTGTACTGGGAAAATATTTCAAGGCAGTTTTTATCCTGAAGAAGTTATAACCACCACTAAGTGGCAGGTTGTTGGGAAGAAGATATGGTGAGATTTGGCAAACATCAACATAATCAACTTATTCTATTTAACAGCACCGATAATGATGATGTGATGCACTAAGAAAGACACATGCCTTGTAGCAATCCTGTCAAAAAAATGTTTAATTTGAATCTAGCCATGAAGATACAATTAGACAAATCCAAACTGAGGAATAGACTTCAAAACAACTGTCGTACATTCTTCAAATATCAATGCCATTTTTCACAATGCCAATGTCACACAAAAAAGTATAGAAAACTGTTTTTAGAGTAAAGGAGATTAAAGAAACATGACAACTAAACACAATGTGCGCTTCTTGACTGGATCCTGAATTGGTGGGAAAAAAATTTATACATACATACATATATATCGCTAAAAGAAACATTATTGGGACAACAGGAGAAATGTGAATATAGGTTGTATTTAATAAGAGTGATTATATCAGCACCAAATTCACTGGTACGATAATGGTAATGTATTTACATAGACAAATGCCTTCATAAGACTGGGTAAAATGACATAACTACAACTCTCAAATGATTAAGTAAAGTGTGTGTGTGCGTGTGTGTATGAGAGAGATAAAAGAGAAGCGTGCACATATGAGAGAGAGAGGGTAAATATATCAAAATATTAACAAATGCTGACTCTATGTAAAGGGTATAAAGGTAAGTGTGGTACTCTTTTTGCAACAGTTCCTTGGGTTTGAAAATTTTCAAGTTAACATGTTGAGAGCCCTGGCTGGTTTGGCTCAGCAGTTAGAGAGTCGGCCTGCCCTGCGGTCCAGAGAGACCCGGGTTTGGTTCCAACTAGGGACGTGTAACTTGGTTGCAGTTTGTCCCCGGCCCTGGTTGGTCCTGCGGGTGGCAGCCACTCGATGTGTCCCTTTGACGTCAATGTCTCTCTCTCTCTCTCTCTCTCTCTCTCTCTCTTCCTCTCTCTCCCTCCCACTCTTTCTCAACAAAAAATGGAAAAGTGTCCTCGGGTGAGGATAAAATAAATAAATAAATAACAAAATAAAAGTATTGCCTTCTTTGCAACACAGATGATAAAACAACAAAACATATTTTTAAAAA